GCAACCACCAACGACTTCTGTAACACTGTGTAATGAAGTACCACACACTGCGGGGCTAAAAACAACAGATATTTATTCTCTCACAGTTCTGGAGGCTAGAAGTTCAAAACCAAGGTGTCAGCAGCACCATGCTTTCTCTGAAGGCTCTAGGGAGGCATCTTTTCCATGCCTCTCTCCTGGATTTCAATGGCTGCTAGCAATCCATGGCATTCCTTGGCTTGTAGATGTATCAGTCCAATCTCTGCCTTCGTCTTCACTCGGAGATCTTTCCTGTTGTGTGTGTCTGTGTCTCTGCATCCAACTCTCCCTCTCTTTCTCTTACAGAGATGCAAGTCATTCAATTCAGGGCCACTCTACACCATTATGACTTCATCTTCACTTATGACATCTGCAGAGACCCTCTTTCCAAATAAGGTCACATCCACAGGTACCAGAGGTTAGGACACAGACACGTCCTTTTAGGGTACACAAGTCAACCCCTACACACATCTTCCCTTTAATTTTATTCCTGAAAAAAGGAGAATTTCATTTTTATGGGAATGTTACTTGTGTTTGTTATCATCCTACTCTAAAGGGTGATGACAATGACACCCCCTTTACACTTGTCTGTGTGCTCCCCAGTGTTTTCAGCCACAGGATACAGAAGGGAAGGACAACTGCCACCTAGAAATCTTTCATGGATAAGTCTTCACGTGCTTGTGGGAGGACACAGAGAGGAAGTACGTGTTCAGGTCAGCTGTATCATGATGCTTTCCCATGAAAGGCACTTTCCATTCCTCAAAGCACCTTGAACTCCTCCGTTGCTTTTCATGCTCCACTCTTTATGTTTAATATGCTGTCATGTCTGGGCATGTCACTGAAAATGTGTCGTATATTTTTTCCCTTTTTTTTTTTAAATTATCATTGTAACCACATGGTTTTCAATGGCTGATTTTTTTGGAAGTAGATCACCAGGTCTTTCTTCCAAGGTACATCTGGGTGGACTTGAACTGCCAACCTTTAGTAAGCAGCCGAGCGTGTTTAACTGTTTGCACCCCCCTAGTACCCCTCGCCTTACTTTTGTAACCCCCCACTTTTACACAATAATATAGGCCCTTATTAGAAAGTTGGAATATCCCAATAGACTTTTTGCTTTCCTTCCACCCTTTGAGTGAGATGGAATTCTGAAGTCCAGTGCCGATGCTGCCATTCCTTCACTTAGGAATCAGCGTGGACTTGTTATTATTTCCATCTCAGATTCAGACTTGTCAGCTTGACTTGCACAATCTGTTTCTAATCCAGCTGGTAAACCAGAGTCTGCACTACTCACCAAAGGCAACTTCTGTCTTCTTCTGTTTCCCTCTGTCTTCCCTTCTCTCTCTCCTTCTCTCTCCTTATGCTTCTCTCTTCTCTCTCTCTCACACATACACACACACACACCTCTCTCCGTTTCTCCTTCTCCCACCTCCGACTCTCTCTCCCCACATTCTCTCTCTCTCTCCCTCCCGCTCCTCCTTCCTCCCCTTCTCTCTCTCTCTCACACACACACATACACACACACACCTCTCTCCCTTTCTCCTTCTCCCACCTCCTACTCTCTCTCCCCACATTCTCTCTCTCTCTCTCCCTCTCCTCCTTCCTCCCCTTCTCTCTGTCTCACACACACACACACACACACACACACAAGAGCACAAATCATGCTCATATTCAGGCTCCGTCCCTTCCTCACTAACAACAGTGATCCATGTAATACTTCCAATTGGGTTGACTGATTTTGATTTTATTTGAGCATTTTACAGAAGTTTACATACGCAATCCAAGTTAATCGATTCTTCTGTCACCTTGACAACAAACAGAAAATAATAAAAGTATCAAGTGCACATAATCTATGAAAATTTAAATTATTTAGTGACTCTTATTAGGTAGGAATAGGTATAGAAAACACGCCTAAGTTTTGTAGACTATAGGAACGGTTTACATTAACAGAATCACCATCAGCAAGAACTGAGGTATTTCAAAGGGTATTGTAAAATTATTCACTTTGTAGTAGAAAAACATATATTTTACAAAACTCTTATACTACAAAGAAATCTATAATGACTTTCCTTATGTAACTGAAGTTTAAACTTAAGGATAAGTAAGTGTAAGTAGAAGGAGCCCTGTTGGTGCACTGGTTAAAGCATTCAGTTGCTAATTGAAAGGTCAGTGGTTTGAACCCACCAGCCACTCCATGGGAGGAAGATGTGGAGATCTGCTTCCATAAGGATTACAGCCTTGGAAACCCTATGGAGCAGTTCTACTCTGTCCTATAGGGTCGCTATGAGTTGGAAATGACTCAGTGGCAATGGGTTTGGCTTTTGGTTATGTGTGAGAACCTGGAATAAAGGCTACATTTGTCCACTTTATGAATACATCCTCACATTGTATGGAAGAATTCAAGTCAACCTGATCATTGAAGAAAGGCAAATGAGAATTGGAGAATCCAAGCGAGACTTGGAATTCCAAATACCCAGTGTTGCCGTCTACATTGTTAAATAAATGTACTGCTACAAAATAAAACATCCCCAGAGGGAGGATCTTTGGAAGAATCAACATGACACCCTAATCTCAATATATAGATGTGGAGGTCGTGTTAATTCCTTTAGCAAATAACCAATGATTAAACTTCCCGTCCACCATACTGATTCTCAAGTTTATAGACACGTAAACACACACATGTGCACGCGCCAACTCCTGACCTCCTAGGCGTGATCTGTTATTTCTGCAAATATGCAACTCTCACCAGTAAAAATCCAGTATTCACATTTCATGGGGAGATCTAGTCTCCCTTCTCAGGCCCGATCATGTTTCTCATTATCTTATCAAGAGCAAGTCAGAGATTGTATGCACAACCCATTGCCGTTGAGTTGATTCTGACTCATAGCCACTCTACAGCAAAGAGTACAACTGGCCCGTAGGGTTTCCAAGGTCGTGCTCTTTATGGAAGCAGACCGCCACATCTTTCTCCTGTGGAGCGGCTGGTGGGTTCGAACTGCTGACGTTTCAGATAGCAGGCTAGTGCTTAACCTGTAAGCAGAAAGGCTCTAAAACATCTGAAAAACTAGACAGGTGGAACCGGGTTTATTATTCAGGTCAGATTGCTTTTTCATTAGGTAATATTTTTCAAGTTTTTTTTAATATTCTCAATATCCTATTTGACACTGACCCACAATGAAATGATTACTGGTCCCATCCACACAAGTGCACACTCATGGTTCTGTCATCAGGGAGGCTACTGATGGTTCTTCATGGGTATCTGATTCCGGTCCCACCTCTCCTACAAGGAGGTTTTGCATTTGGCGTGCACTGGTTATTCCTACCGTCAGCTCCATAAAGTCACCAGCTCACGGGCACTAACGTGTCAAATATATTATGAAAGCAATTTTAATTCCTGATCTTGTTTTTTCTTCTTTTCCTTTCCTGCTCTCCCTCTTTCCATTCCGTATTTGAATAGCTCACCGTAGGACAGACGGCGCCCCAGGTGGCTGCTGCGGTGAAAACTCTAATTGGTTTTGGGTGCCCCTACCCACCTTTGCCCAGGAACACAAAGCTGATACTTAGGGGCTGTTGTGCACCCAGGCAGCCAGGCACACCGTCGTCAGCACCACATCCAAATGTCAGTTTAACTCCTCAAGTCACATTCAGACCTCCGCTTTACAAGATAATTGTGTGTTCCGTCTCCATAACGACGCAGACAGCATGCCAGAAATGACTGATATAATGAAGCACAGTTCTTTCATTCTTTTCTCTGGGCCTGTCTTTGTGATCTGCGCTGCACACAGCCCGGTTTGTTCTTTGGGGCGCTCTATTTAGACCACCTCTTGGCGTTCGCAAGGGACACAACTAGAGTGGCAGGTGCAATTAAAATGTTGGAGATCCTGGAATTAATGCAGTGGTTCATTTCTGACGCTAAGCCAAATCTTACCGGAAAATATTTTCCAAGACTCGACACACACACACACAAAAAAGAAAATTCTCCATAAATAATATAAAAGACGCACACTAATTTCTATAGTAGGTAACGTCTATGGTTTCAGTTCAATATATATGCACGGTTTTTACATGGCTTTATTTGTATACATATATATTTCATCATAGGTTTTTCCTTCTCCCCTAAAAAATAATATATGCAAATGGTAACTGACAAATGTAATATCCTGGTGGCATCCCTATATTCCAGTTAGTCTTTATAGAGAAATGTAATTTGAAATCTACACAGGCGTGGACATGCCTGAATTTTAATAATACTGGATTAAATCAATATAGTGAACGTTATTGTTCTTACAGATTCTTCACTGTTACTTTACAGAAAACGGCCCTTTTTTAAGGCATTGCTTTCTAACTCAGCTGAAATTACCTGACTATGCGTGTTTGTATTTGATGGCAGTGAATATTGGAAGAAGGCAAGGTCCAAATTTATGTTAACAAAATGGTTTCTAAGCAGTAGACTTCGCCCATTTTATGAAATATACTTTGCTTCTGTATTAAAAACAATCCATGTTCTTCCTCTCAAGACTCAACAAAGAAAGTGCTAAAATCTTAGAGCATTAACACAAAGAGAATCATCTCATCCCTTAACATTTCTTCAGGTTGCAAATTCAACCGTGGCAATGCTTTAAATCCTATTATTTTCCTTGGGCTCATTCCTTTGCAGGTATGACATATTAATATATAACGCTATATATAACGCTGCTCCTACTGGTTATCATCTAAAAATAAACATGGTGGCAATTTTAAGAAGACAGTATTTGAACATAATTTAAGGCATTAATTATAGCATTGTTCATCCACGAGACTTTTAGTAAATACACGCAGAATGCATGATAAGTGACTGCAATAATTGCATAAGGAATACGGAAAACTAAATAAGTGGGTTCTAGACAATAACATGCACAGGATATTATAAAAAAAGAAAAACTTGGGGGCGAGTCTCCCTGTACTGAGTAAGCGGGTATTGCTTTCTGTTTCAACAAAGGACTTACCATCCTCCGTGGGCACGTAGATGTTCAAGTAAAGGCAGTCTTCATTCTGATCTTGAACATATGTCATCAAGGTATCCAAGTTGGCGGTAAACCAGATGGGCAGCATGTCATGAAGCAAAGACCTCTCATCCAGGTGCTGGGGACACACAGCAGCAAATTGGGTGGCGTTCCGAACGCCAGTCCATGAGGAAGGGGGCTCTGGGGGCTGAAACCGCCTCTCTCCGGTAGGAGGAGAGGCATAGGGAACCCCCAAGTATTGTTCCACTGGACCCAAAATCTCATTGGGCAATGGTGTTCTTAGGCCGCGGATTTTGCCATAATTTGTGTTTACCACCGGGTACTGGGGTTGGCCGTCAATGAGGGTGAACTTGATGGCCAGCGCGGTTATCCACAAGAGGATGTTGGAGTTCAACATGACACAGACTGGGGTGAAGACCAACGGAAGCCATAGCAGTCCCTGGGGCCTCGACATCTTTCACACACACATCCGCAGGCGTCTGTGTGACACAGCCCCAAGGAGACCCACCACCGTGAATCAAGCCCTCCAAGAGAGAGGGTTATCCTGGGAGCAACAAGCCTAGGAGAGGCGACGCGCTAGGACGCTTCTCAATCTGAGCCCCAGGTCAACAGCACACAAAGCAGTGTCCTTGGCAGCCCATGGCAAGAGAAAGCAATCCCCCCTTTATCTTGGACCCAGATTCCAGCAAGTGCAGAGCTCCGAGGAAGCGGTGATCATCAAACAATTCCCAAGGGCAGCAACTCCTTATGGAAACTCCCAGGCAGAGCCATCAGCCTACAGGGAAGAACAAGGAGAGAATAATAATAAAGCAAACGCAACCACCACTTTAAACATAGTCTTTTCCATCACAACCCTCGTCATCACTCTGTTGTCCTTGTCAGGTGCTGTGGAGTTGATCCCGACTCATGGTGATCCCATGTGACAGAGTAGAACTGCCCCATAGGATCTGCCAGGCTGTCATCTTTACGCAAGCAGATGGCCAGGTCTTTCTCCTGCAGAGCTACTGGGTGGGTCTGAACCATCACCTGCTTCAGTTAGCAGCCGAGTGTTTTGCCACTAAGGCTCCCTACCATCAAAGTCTTGTTTGTGGGTTGATTTGTGTATTAGCGTCGCCATGTGGTAGAAGTTGGCAAGAACTTCGGTGGTCCTTGCCATATTGCTATATATCCCACCACCTAGAACAGTGTCCGACATTTAGACAACACTCAACAGGTACTTACTAAATGACTGGAACGAATCTCGAAAAGGTGTACACGTTATATAGCTGACTGCAGCCGCATCTCCTAATTTCACTATTATCACTATTATTTACAAGACTGGTCAGCCAATGGATAAAAACCAGTTGCCCTCAAATGGATTCTGACTCACGGTGACCTCATATGTGTCAGAATAAAACTGTGCTCCATAGGGTTTTCAATGGCTATAATCTTAAAGGAGTAGATTGCCAGGCCTTTCTTCTGTGGTACTGTTGGGTAGATTTGAACTGCCAACCTTTTGGTTAGTAGTCAAGTGGAAACCATTTGGACCACCCAGGGACTTAACCAAGGGATTGTTGTTGTTGTTAGAATGAAACACTGCTCGGTCCTGCACCATCCTAACAATCGTCGTTATGCGTGAGCCGCTTGAGCCCATTGTTGCAGCCATTGTGTCAATCCGTCTCCTTGAGGGTCTTCCTCTTTTTCACCGACTTTACCAATATAAAAAATAGCATTACACCACATGGGCTGATTTATGTGTTTGCGTCTATCTTTGAATTCTACCTTAGACAACATTTGGATTTCTGCCACAATGCAATCCGATTTCTGAATAATTAAGAGACAGCCAAAAACAAAGAAGAGACAATGACAAGTTTGGATGCCTCAACTTCCCTGAAAGCCCATTTGCTTTTTAACCAGTCTTAGCTCTTCTTCCGGAACCTTCATCACTATAATCCAAAACTCATTGCCTTGGAGTTGATGCCAACTCATAGCGACCCCATAGGGCTTCCAAGGCCGTAAATCTCTACGGAAGCTGACTGCCACATCTTTTTCCCATGGAGGCACTGGTGGTTTCAAAATGCCGATTAGCAGTTGATCGCTTTAACCACTGCACCACCAGGGCTCCTCATCACTGTTACAGGTGGCGCCATTAACTTTTCATTTGGACAGTGGGGCTATGCCAGTGAGCAGAAGGACTTTCTCTGGGCTTTAGGCAAAATGGCGGGTTGCACGTGTCAGGAAGTGTACAAAGAGGGTCAGAGAAGGGAAGATAGCCACTCAATAAATACAAAATGCTAGGATTTCAAACACAGACCTGCTCAAGACTCCCAGTTACTCCAGCACAGGCTCTGGCATCAGCCAGCTGTTAGTATTGCATGATCCAAAAGCAAGTAATTTGAAATCACTGGGTCTCATGTTACCGTTTGGCTATCGCTGTTTTAGGGTAAAATGAGAGACACCACCCAAGGTACTCCACAGTCCTGGACTCTGGAGTTCAATACCTGTAGAATTCACTTGGTGGATTTGTCCCAGGAGTTACAAAGACAATTCTACAAGGAATTATGACCCACTCTTTAAGTTCTTGAACTGAAAGCAGATGAGAGGACCTACAAATGATTATTTATCTGTTAAGAATGCCCAAGTTAAGTCACGCCTAGATGACATGTTTAGGGAGTATGATCCAGTTGCTCCTCTGTCTAAACCCACATCCTCAGAGGGTTCTCAGGGCAGGAAGAGACCTGGAACTGGCTCAGATCTAAGAGAGAGAGAGAGAGAGGGACATCGGAGAACTAACTCAGAGCCAGGTGATATTGTTAGTTGCCTTCCACTTGGATCCAGCTCATGGAGACTCCATGCAAAACAGAAAAACACATTGCCTGGTCCTGCACCATCTTCATGATCATTGGTCTGCTCCAGTCCATTGTTGTGACCACTGGGTATTCTGGGTGCCTTCCAACCTAGGGGGCTCATCTTCCAATACTCTACCAGACAATGTTCTGTTGTGCTCCATAGGGTTTTCACTGACTGATTTTCAGAAGTAGATCGCCAGGTCTTTCTTCCTAACTGTCTTAGTCTAGAAGCTTGGCTGAAACATGTCCACCATGGGTGACCCTGCTGGTATTTGAAAGACCAATGGCATAGCTTCCAGCATCACAGTATCACAGCAACATGCAAACCACCACAGTAGACGCTGACCAATGGGTGATGGTCCAAGTTATGCAGTCATAGTATTCACAAGTTGAAGGCTATCTTTTTTCCCCTCATTTTCTGAAACGTGACTAACTTGCACAAAATACAGAAGCCCAGGGTTTGTCAGCCTCAGCATTGCTGACATATGGAAGCATGTAATTCTTTGTTTTGGGGTTTCCCACGTGCACTGTAGAACACCGCGCGCCTTCCCTGGCCTCTACCCACCAGATGCTGGTAGACCCCCTCCCCAACTTGTGACAAGCAAAAATGTCTCCACTGTCTCTGGGTGCCTTCGAGTCAATTCTGACTCATAGTGACCCCGAAGGACAGAACAGAACGCCCCGCAGGGTTTCCTAGGCTGTAATTTTTACAGAAGCAGATCACTAGGTCCTTCTCCAGCAGAGTCACTGGGTAGATTCCAATTGCCAAACGTTTGGTTAGAAGCCAGACAGTTAACCACTGCACCACCAGGGCTCCAGACATTGCCAATTGTCCCCTGGAGGGCAGAACTGCCCCTGGGTGACAATCGCTGGTCTCAGTCATCAGTCATGGAATGACGATGACCATGTAAATGGTAGAGTATTTGTGATCTGTGGGTATATTTAAAGACTACAATCAATGGATGTGTGTGTGTGTGTGTCGGTGTGTGTGTGTGTGCGCACGCATGTGTGTGTGTGTGTGTATAGGCATAAACCACATCCCCCAACAAAAAAAAAAAACCAAACCCGTTGCCATCGAGTCGATTCCGACTCATAGCGACCCTAGAGGACAAAGCAGAGCTGCCCCATAGGGTTTCCAAGGAGCTGCTGGTGGATTCGAACTGCCGACCTTTTGGTTAGCAGCCAAATGCTTAACCACTGAGCCACCAGGGCTCCTAGATAGGCATATGAGATATGTATATTTATAAATATATTTATATAAATATGTATATATATTTCCACTGATTATAATCTAGTGTGTTTATATATGTATATATTACACACACCTACACACACACTTGTGTGTGTGTATATATGTATATATATGTTAACTTTCAAATATTTAGCAACATTTAAATTTTTAACATAATGATCAATACTGATTCTGAAGATAAACCTATTGAATGTTCATCGCCGTCATTACAGAATACTGGCAAATTTAACTGGTATGTGTCCATGGGAGAAAAAATTAAAATAAAATAAAAAATAACATACCTTCTCTGTAAGGTTCACAGACTGAAAGGAAGTCCGCAACAGGGGACATGTTGTTGTTCATATTTGTGTGTGTGTGCGTGTGTGTGCGTGTGTGTGTGCGTGTGTGTGTGTGTGTTTTTTTTTTAATCAAAATAAAAAAAGAGGTCACTACAAAATGAATTCTCTTTGAATAAAAATTTTAATTAAAAACAAATACAAGTATTAATATTTAAAATTTTTTAAAACCCCATAAGTTCACTGAATATATATAATTTGGGATTCCACAAGGGGTGATATGCTATTATCCATATTTGTATTTGTTTTCTTTTCTCAAAAATAAAAAAGGGAATACTACAAAATAAACTCTTTTAATAAAAATTCTAGTAAAAAGACAATAATCCTAACATCACTGAATATAGATAATTGGGGTATTAAGAAGGACTTTATAGTTTATGCAATGAAAGCCCAAACAATAAAATCTTAGAACTGTATTTCAACCTGATTTATGACTTGATGGGTATTTTAGAATAATTTCCTACTGGCTGTTAATTGTAACTGAGGTCGTAATTAAGACAAGGCTTAACCCATTCAGGCACATCAGAACATAAGTGAGTCCAAATAACAATTGCAATGAATTTCTCCCCAAAGAACACGTCACTCGAATTCTGATTGGCTTAATTTTAAAAATATGCACCTAATATAGGTGAGCCCTGAGTAAGTGTATTTTGATAGTCTGGGCTTATAAGGAATAAAATTATGCCTCCTGGGTGTCTATGACCCTTCCTTTCCATGGCTGTTTAATATATTGGAAGACAGGGAACTTGGTGGACGCATCTTTTTCAAAAATTGAGAGCAAAAATGAGGTGGGAGCAGCAATCCCTATGTGTGACCTCCAGGGTCTGGGACACGGAGCGGTTTTCTGTGAATGAGCAGATTTGGGGAGGGGAGGCTTGGCAGACCCAGAGGCGCGGGGAAGACTCAATTCCATCTTGCATTCCGGAGCATCGGGAAAATGAAAGTGGCAGACCCTGGCCCTCGTCCAAACCATGAGCGTGTACGGCAATGTTGCCTTCATGGTGACTAAGACAGCACGTGAGAGCTACTCCTGAAACTG